ATGGGCGGGCCGCCCACCTAAAACCCCTTGTGGAGAACACTGGAAATTATAAAAAGAGAATAGAGACAATTATAATTTATCCTCCATGAAAATACTAGCTTCCTACCGAATATTAAATTACTTCAATCGCTTAGTAGCGTGAGCATATCAAGTTTTCAAACGCAGTGTCCACAAAAACTACGAATAGGCCACACAAAGGAACACTGTCGACGCCAACACGAAAAAGTTTGATAAATGTTGGGAAAAGTCAAAGTACCGAGAAATATCACTATATATTTGCTCATTATGTATTCATAAATATCGTGGCCGAAAGTAGGAAACATTAAAAAAGCCGTAACTCATCCAAAAATTGACCGATTTGGACAGAAAAGACGACGATGGAAAGGTCAGAACACATAGACGTCATTTCCGGTTAGATATGAAAGTATGCGCCTGCGATTTCTGCAGTAGAATGACATTATGAAAACACACAAAGCAGGTAAATGTGAGTACGTTCGGGATTCTTCGGGTAGACTTGTGTCAATAAACTACCAGCAAGGTCTGCCGTGGCACGCATCCTACTGGTGTAATCACACCTAAAACAATAGGCGTCTGTTCTTTATTGGTCTGAGGTGTATGCTAGTGTGTAATATGGGGTCAATAGGGGTCATATTTCAACAAAAAGTATGGATGGTTTAATTCCCAGAGGTGTCATAGTTTTGATATATTTAATTTTTTCACATACCCATCCGTATACGTCAAATCAGTAAAGTTTCCAGGGGGTGTGTTAGTTAACAAAAATCCGACACCTGAATGGTGGATTGGAATCCATATAACCTTAATATCGGCCCATAGAAGGGGGGTGGTGGACAAAAACTGAATGACCAATGGAATGAATATCTCGTTTGAATTGAAGCAGTCACGCAAATTGCGAGATGATGACGAAATCACTAGACCAACTTACATATCTGGACATTTTAATGCAAATTACGAAGAATGTACAAGTGTACATAAATATTGTTTCTGATATTGTTTTTGCTTATTCTCAAAGCATGTATTTAAATACAGCGAACTCACACTAAAATGGGGAAAAAACGTTCCGTGATGAACTAAGTCAACCCAGTAAAAGAAGGCTCATTAATATGTTAGATGTGTTATTTGTAAAAAAAAACTTGAGAAAAACTTGAAATAGAAAAGGCAAAGCGAGAATGTTTGTTTGTGCTTTGAGTGTGATCCAGGCTATTAGCCAGGAATTTGCAACTGCCAGTCCAAAAAAATTCAACTTCATGAAAATGTAGATGGTTTAGGATATATTTTGGTAAAATTATAGACAATAGGAAAAAACAGAAAAATGGGAAAAAAGTTGCCAGGCCAAAATCAATGTTGCCAGTCCGTTTGGTGAGTGGACTGGTGGCTGGCTAACACCCTGGTGTGATCGCATAACAGACACTACTTATGCTGTGTTTACACAACAGAATTTTATTAGAGCCCTCCGGCTCTATCCAGGTTTGGCTCCAATAAACCCGTCATAGTTTTCCCA